GATGTGCCCCAATGTGGCTGGTTGGTTGGCTGGTCGGGCTGGTTGGTTGGTTGATTGGTTGGCTGGCTGGGCTGGCTGGTTGGTTGAATGGTTGGCTAGTTTGATTGGTTGATTGGCAAGTTGGTTGGTTGATTGGCAGGCCCCAGCCGCGGAGATCCGCACCCTGGGAGGCCCCATTGAGAACAAGGGCGCGCAGCGCAGGAGCGGCTGCAGCTGGGCGGCAGCAGAGCTAGGAGGAGGAGGGGGAGGAGGAGGGGGATGAGGAGGACGGGAGAAGAGGAGGATACATTGAATTGCATTGGCTTTGCAGCGAATCCGTCGGGCTTCGCCCTTTGCACGTCTGGACCTAAGGCGACCTAAACCACCCTCCGACAGGTGCCCTGTGTAACACATGGACGAAGATGTGCCTTCATGTGGCTGGTTGGTTGGCTGGTCAAGTTGGTTGGTCGGTTGATTGGTTGGCTGGTCGAGCTGGTTGGTTGGTTGGCTGATTGGTTGGGCAGGTTGGTTGGCTGGTTTGGCATTGCCTGGCAGGTGCACATGCACATACATGTGCATATGCATATCCGAAGTCAAGTTCCCACCCATTCATTTACATATATATATATATATATATACATACAGATACGTATACACATGTTAACATGTACACCCCGCGGCAGAATTGACGTGCTATTCTCTGGCAACTTCGATGAATAAACGCACTTTGACTTCATTATGACTCTCATTTTTTTCTCGACTGTGCGTCGAGTTTGGCCTCGTTCGGACTTGGATGGATTGATTTCTACTTGCATTCTTGTGCGAATCCATCGGGCTTCGCCCTTTGCACCTCTGGACCTAAGGCGACCTAAGCCGCCCTCCAACAGGCGCCCTGTGTAACAGTTGGACGAAGATGTGCCCCTGTTTGGCTGGTTGGTTGGATTGTTTGGTAGTGGTTGGCAGGTACACCTGCACATGCATCTACATATACATATCTAACTTCAAACTTAAATATAGTCATTCATATACATATGTCCGAACATATACATTTTACATGAGTATATCCCGAACCAGAGTTGACGTGTTGTTCTCTGGCAACGTCGGTGGATTGACGTACGTTGACTTCATTGTGCCTCTCATTTTTTTCTCGACTGTGCGTCGAGTTTGGCCTCGTTCGGACTTGGATGGATTGACTTCTGCTTGCATTTTTGTGCGAATCCATCGGGCTTCGCCCGTTGCACGTCTGGACCTGAGGCGACCGAAACCGCCCTCAAGTAGGCGCCCTGTGTCAGTTGGACGAAGATGTGCCCCATGGTTTGGTATTGGTTGGCAGGAGCACCTGCGCATGCATCTACATGCGCATGTCCAAATTCAAGTTCACATTCATCCATTCATATACATAAAAAAACATATACAAGGTGTATATCCTGAGACAGAGTTGACGTGCTATTCCCTGGCAACTTCCATGAATTAACGCACTTTGACTTCATTATGCCTCTCATTTTTGATCTCGACTGTTCGTCGAGTTCCGCCACGTTCGGACTTGGATGGATTGACTTCTGCTGGCGTTCTTGTGCGAATCCATCGGGCTTCGCCCTTTGCACGTCTGGACCTAAGGCGACCTAGGCCGCCCTCCAGCAGGCGCCCTGTGTAACAGTTGGACGAAGATGTGCCCCCATTTGGCTGGTTGGTTGGCTGGTCGGGCTGGTTGGTTGGTTGATTGGTTGGCTGGCTGGGCTGGCTGGTTGGTTGAATGGTTGGCTAGTTGGTTGGCTGGTTCGGTTGATTGGTTGGCAGGTTGATTGGATGGCAGGCCCCAGCATCGCAGATCCATACCTCGGGAGGCCCCTGGAGGTTGTCTCAGGGGCCCACTTGGGAGGAAGGGCCTCTTTGGGCCCCTGCGGCTCCTTCTGTGCGCTCTTGGGCCTTTCTGTCTGAGCGCTGCTTGAAAAGATGGTTTTGGGTTTTTTGGGTGGCGTCTGCAAAGTTTCGAAAGCTCGGGACGTCTCTTCGTGGTTTTCCAAGCCAAAAAGTCAGATCAGGATATTTGGGCGCGTTCGCCGGAGAACTTGGCGCATCCAAACAAAACGGGCTTCGCGCCGGGAAAACTGGGCGCATCGGGAGGAAACGGGCTTCGCGCCGGGGAAATTGGGCGCGTCTGGACAAAATGGCCTCGAAGTTTCGGGCGGGCCCCAACCTTCGGGGGGTTTCGGGGGGTTTCGGGCGACGTCCACTGGGGCGCCCGAATGACCCGAATGACCCGAAACTCCAAGCGAATGTATCGAGCGAAGTTTCGGGCGACGCCCGAATGACCCGAATGGGGCCCCATTTCGGGACCGAAATCGCCCGAATGACCCGAATGACCCGAATGACCCGGAGGTTGGAAGCTGATTCCTCCAGGATCACCAGAATCCCCGGCTGACAGTCCAAATTCCCGGCTGAAGGTCCAAATCCCCGGCTGCAGCCCAAATCGCCGGCTGACGGCCCAAATCCCCGGATGACGGCCAAAGTCCTGGTTGAAAACCCAGAATCCACTCAATCCCGTTCAAACCCCAAGATGATGGCCTAAATCGTCGCAAAAAACTGTTCCTCAGCCGCTGCCTCAGCCACGTAGGTTCGGGATCAGAATCTCCAGCAGTTGCAAGCACTAACAGTGCTGCTGCAGCCCACATGGGCCGTCTCGACAAAGATTTCCTAGACAACCTTACGCGCGTGGTGCGGGCTGTTTCAGGCCAGCCTGAGACGGCACACGAGTCCAGAGCATCCCAAGGGTGCTCATCAGTAGCCTTCGACTCTGCCGACGCCATTGTGCCTGACTGGGGTTCCCTGCAGACCATTGTTACCTGCCTGGGTTCCTGGGTGCCATTATACCTGACTGGGGTTCCCTGGGGCCTCTTGGTTGGTGAGTGCGGCTCTGGGAGTCTCCGAATCCACCGCCCCGAGCCCCGATCATGCCCCAAGAGGCTCTCAGCCCCCACCTGGAGGTCTCATCCAGCCTATTTTTAGTATGGCTGCTCAAAATGATATGGCACCCTTCAAACATGTGTGTATGTATGTATGTATGTATGTATGTATGTATGTATGTATATATGTATATGTATGTATGTATGTATGTATGTATGTATGTGTATGTATGTATGTACGTATGTGTACATATACATGTATATATCAGGCCCCCGTGGGTGTATCGGTTTATCTGAGGTCCGCTCGGGCTTATCTTAGGCCGCCAGTTGGTTTATCGTTTATCTTCGGCCCCCGCGGATTTATCTCAGGCCCGTTCGGGTTTATCTCAGGCCCGTTCGGGTTTATCTCAGTAGGCCCGTTCGGGTTTATCTCGAGCAGCCAGCGGGTGTATATTAGCCCTCATGCGGGCTGAACTTGCCCCCCCCCCCCCCTACTGGCGGGTTTTCATGCACAGGCCGTCTCGTTAGCACGGCCCCGCTCTAGACTAGAACGGCCCCGAACGGCCCCGCTCTAGGCTAGAACGGCGCCGTTCTAGCCTAGAACGGGGCCGTTGTAGCCTAGAACGGGGCCGTTGTAGCCTAGAACGGGGCCGTTCGGCCGTTCTAGCCTAGAAAGGGGCGGTTCTAGCCTAGAATGGGGCCGTTCTAGCCTAGTATGTATGTATGTATGTATGTATGTCTGTATGTGTGTGTATGTGTGTATGTGTGTGTATGTGTGTATGGTTGTGTGTTGGTGTGTACACATGTATGGTTGTATGTATACACGTATGTATGTATGTATGCATGCATGCATGCATGTATGTGTTTGCGCATGTACCCGACAACTCCGAGTTTTCGGGTATAAACAACTAGATGCTTGCTTTCCATCAGCGGAGCTGTCGGGTATAAACAGCTAGGTGCTTGTTGTTTCCCGTCATCGGAGTTGTCGGGTATAAACAGCTAGATGCTTGCTTTCCGTCAGCGGAACTGTCGGTTATAAACAGCTAGGTGTGTTTTTCCCGTCAGCGGAGCTGTCGGGTATGAACAGCTAGGTGTTTGCATTATGTCAGCGGCGCGGTCGGAGAGAGTGGGGCAGGAACAACAATGTATGTGTTTGCGCATGTCTATGTATATGTGCATGTATATGGATATTATATGTGTATGTCGATGCATATGTATATGAATACGTGCATGTACATTCATATCCATATGTGTATACACGCATATATGTGTGTATGTATATGCACGTGCATGCATGTATGTATGTGTATGTATGTATGTGTGTATGTATGCATGTAGGTATATATGTATGTGAAACATGACACGCACGAAGGTAAAACATGTATACGCATTCGGGTATGTATATACGTACACGCACGCCTGTTTTCAAAGGTGGTCCTCCAAGGCAGATTGGGTCTGATTGATTGATGCTCGAGATGATGGTGATCGAGTCTGCGTATGGTCGAGTCTGATTGGTAAGGATGCCAGAGAAAGGGTATGATTGAGTCTGGGTATGACAGAGTCTGGGTATGACAGTCTTCTGCACGTGTGATCGTTGTTTCCACCCGCCGTGGGAAGTGTGCGTTCTTCTGCCCCACAGAAACAAAACCGAATCTTAACTAACATGTGGGGCCTCCCTAGTCTTTTGCACGTGCGATCTTGATATATGTACCCGTATTCTTAGACGTGTAGTAAGAGTGTACCCGAATATTTGTGTTCGGCAGGCCCAGTCATGCAGCCATCGTGGCAAAGCAGGCGATAAAACAAAAAGAGTCTGATTGATAAGGAGTTCGATTGTGAGTGAGAGCGAACGAATTGGTCTGAATGCGAGTGAGTCCATGGATGGGCGAGTTTGAGGGTGAGCCTGAGTATGAGTGAGTCTGCTGGAAACACACAAACTCCCCTTACCGCTTGCCACACTCGTTTGGATGCTGCCTTTCCCTTTCCGAAGCTCATCACTGTGTCGAGTGATTTTTTGCAAGTTGAGCTTCCCTGCTGCCGCCCAGCGGCGGGGCTTCATGGGCAAACGTACCTTGGAGTCGGGAGCGACCGACCCATTGAATCTGAAGGGTCGGCGCAATGCAGTGCCAGGGCAAGCGCATCCTGGCAGCCATGGTTTCACAGAAGCTCGGGATCATCTTCCAGCAGGTCCCTCATCGTTACGAGATGCGTTCAAGTGGCACTATCAGTTCGCTGACGACACAACCAACCCCGACTCAGTTGACTGTCACGCTAGAGTGATGTGCCTGAGGAACAATTTGCGTAAAGGCGTTATCGTGTTCTCTGATCATTCTGGGACAGGCAATGGTGAGCGGTCCATTTGCCTTGCTCTTGGCGCCTTTCACGACATGTGCCCACCAACGCATCCTAAAATATGGTGTTCGGTGGACCCTTCGCCTTCCGCCCAGATCGCCTTGAGCGCTGGCTATCGCACTGGGGCGGCGCACATCTTCAATGACATCATGGAGCAGATCCCGCCGGACGTCGCAGCTGAGATCAACAGGATGATGCCAGACGACAAGATGGAGCCGCCGCAGCGGCGCAAAAAGTTCGAGGACATGTGGGAGTTCATGAAGACCAACATGGAGAGGGTCTTGCCAGACGACCGCGTCATGAAGGACATCCAGACAGGCCACGCAGCGCCACCGTTCGTGCAGCATTTCCCGAATGACGATTTCACGGAGCCGCTCACCATCCATGTTTCGGGTACCGAGTGTTACGCATTTGCGTTCATGGGCTCAGGTGCCAAGACGTCCCACGACAACTTCGCGACCTTCCTCATGTGGTGTTTGAGCATCCTTCGCACCAGGCCGCTCGTTGTCATCCACGAGATCACCGAGTTGCACCCAGAGGGCATACTAGAGTACTTCTTCAAGGACACGTGCCCTCCATACATGTATACATAGATATATATATATATATAGATATCCCTCTCTCCCTCTCATCTTCCCATACGTTCTCGTTGGAGGGGGGCGCTCGGCAGGTACACCATTGCCGTCTTCAGGGTTTCGCCGTGGACGTTCGGCCTGCCAGTGCGACGGCCGAGGAAGTACACAGCCATGCTGCGGAAAGACGTCTTCGAGTGGTTGGGGTCGCCAGAAGAGTTCGAGCTGCTGTACAGCAAGAAGGTCGTGATGAAGTCCGAGGATCTTTTCTGCGCCCCAGACGCGCAACAGCAGGCCGAGTGGTCGGAGATCGCGAAGCAGAAGAGCAAGGTGCCCATGGATGAGTCTTCGAGGTACGACTCCCTGAAGTTGCTGACACCAAGTCAGAGCCGTCGCGCGAATGAGCAGGTCAGTGATGCTGAACGCCAGTATGGCCCAGGCGTCGTGGCAGACATCAACCAGGAACTTGGGTTTTCCTGCCCTGGCCCGTTCGTGCCTCCGCTGCTGCACGGTTCGATCATGTACCACAGCGGCTTACAGCGGACAGCTATTGCTGCGGAGCACCTCGTCATGCAAGGGATTCCAGCGTTTCCTTTTCTTTGCGACGACCAGCCTGACTGCAACTGGCCCGACCTTTTGAAGATGAACGTGATTTCGACCAGCGACATCAGGAAGCTAGCTGGCCTGGCCATGCATGCCCAATGCCCGGGCGAAGTGGTCGGGTACGTGCTGAGCCGGGCGGTCCAGCGTAGCACCTTGAGCTTGGATTACCGCAGGGTGAATTCTTCTTTGAGTTGCGATGCGTCCGAGCAGAGCGACCACGACATCGAGGTTTCTGAGGTCACGCAGGGCCAGGCCGACGACATTGAGGTCTCCGAGGTCGCAGAGGGCCAGGGCGACGACATTGAAGTCTCGGAGGTCACAGGGGGCCAGGAGGTTCTCCCTACTATTTGGTATCCCGAGGACGCCTTCATCGCGAGCGCCGGCGCGGAGGCGGGCGACGATATCGATGGCAGTGACAGCGACTAGAGTACGGGTGATCAGTGATAGGCCTTGTGGTGGCCATCTAGCCTGCAGCTGCCTCGCGGCCCGCATCTGCCCGAGCCCTGTGCCCGAACGCTTCGATTCTTTCGGTCAGAGACCGCTTCCCGTTGAAATCCCCTCCGCCTTCCAGAGATAAAAAAACGTTGGAATAAGGGCCAATTTGGTATCGGAGAAGTTTCCAAGATCCTCGAGCCCCCCTCGTAGGGAACGTAGAAACGTACATATGGTCTCAGCTGGGGCCTCCAAGGGAGGGACGTCGTTCCCCATCAAGGGTTCCTCATCGCAAGACGTCCTGCCGCTCGCCCCTCTCTCCCATCTCGCCCTCCCTCCTCCGAGGGCGGCAACAGCAATGTAGATAATGCATGGCATCAAAGTGCCTAGATCACGCATTGCTCCAATGAAACCCATGGCCCAAGTCAAACATTGCCCAAATCATGATCAAACATTGCCCAAATCAAACATTGGCCCCATAGCCGTAATTACTCAGGCAAGCAGTTGGGCATAAGGACCATCGAAAGCCACCACCATGGCAGAAGGTGCCATGGACTTCGAGGCGGAGGAGGCGGCTCTTCCTCCCGAGGGTGCGCCTGGCGGGAAGAGAGGCAAGGGATCTGCCGCCAGCCGCCGCGGCAGCGGCGCCGCTCCCAGTGCCAAGGCGGCCAAGAAGGTGTGCTTCATCTGCTTGGACCCCGAGAGGGCATGCTGCGGCAACAACCCGGTCTGCCACGACGACAAGCGCGAGATGGATGCCATGAAAAAAGATGCGCAGATCAACGGGTGGCTGGATAAGTACGAAGATGGCTTGAAGAATCCCGTGATCTTCAGGAAAATGCTGAACGACTACAAGTTGACGTGTGCTTCGCGCGGGCGTGGTAAGACCCGACCAATCTACAAGGTTGCCCGACTGGTTGAGATCATGGAGAAGTCCGATGTGAGTCAGGCGGGCGATGAGAGCCAAATGATGGACCTCTTCGAACACGAAGAGTTCTACTTGAAAAAGAAGTTCACCCCGCAGGAGATCACCGAAAAGTGGAACGAGGCTGTGAAGAAGTACAAGGGCACCACTGACTACGACTTGGACGGTGACAACAAGAAGTATCCAGAGAGGGTTCGAGTCAGGGTGAAGACCTTCATCAACGAGTTTAAAGAGACCAAGGGTGGCCATCGAGCCGAGCGGGTCAGCAAGGAGGCGAAGAGCGGGGACATGGCGGTCGACACCGACGAGGGTTTCAAGCTCTACGCGGAGAAGAACGGGGCTGCGTCTTCCAGTGCTGGTAAGAGGGCAGCTCCCACCGACGGCCAGGCTTCCGATGACGACGACGGCGACCTCAGGACCCCTGTGAAGCGCAAGACTGCCCCCAAGGCTACGCCCAGCGGCTCGGCGGGGGGCGGCGGCGGCGCCAGTGGGGGACAGGGTAGCGACAGCAAGAAGGGCGACTTGTCGCTCATCCGCTTGCGAGCCCACGACTCTTGGAAAAGTGCGCTGGTGTTCAAGGTGCAGCCCTCGCTGAAGCATGCGGTTACCAGGACAGTGGCAGATGTGGAAGAACTTAAGGACGCGACTGACGCAGAGGAATACAAGGCCGTTGTTCGAGAGAGGCTGAGCTTGGCGAACATCGTGATCGAGGGCTACGGGGAGGATGTGCCTGATTCGCCGCCAGCCCCGCCGGACCTCGACGACACCGTCCAGCGCATGAGGGATGCCCTCTCCTCGATGGAGCATAAGCCGTGCGGATCCCCAGAGAAGTTAGTGACGCTGCGAGTTTTCCACGCGAAGATTCTGGAGTTGAAGACGGCCAAGGCACCAGATGAGCTCAAACAGATGGAGTTGCAGCTCAATGACATCGAAGCCGCATACACTGAGCTGGCATCGTCTCTCGCCGCTGCATCCGCTGAGCTGAAGGCCGCCATGAAGGATCGCGAGACCCAGAAGAAGAAGGCGCAAAAGGCGGAAGAGGCTAGGAAGAAAGCTGAGGAAAGACAGAAAGCGAGAGACGAACAGAAGAAGATAAGGACGGCTGCCAAGACGGCTGCCAAGCAGCAGCAGCAGCAGCAGCCGGCCGCGAAGCAGGACGCGGGCGCCATGTTCGAGAAGGGCTTTAGCTACGCGCAGCCGATGCACGCATACGAGTCCGACGCCGATGCTCTCAGTGACAAGCCCGACCTCACCAAGCCGTTCATCGTGAAGAAGTGCAGCTCGATCATGGAGTTCATTGTGAGCGCGAATGGGGCCGAAGTTAAGACGAACCTCGACATCTTCAAGCAGGGGTATTTGTCTTCAACCCCAGTGAAGGTATCTGGGCGAGCGCACTGCAAGCTGAAGTGCAACGGCAAGGAGGACATCGCTGGCGCGATCAACAAATTATTCGAGCATCTCCCAGTTGCCCCAAAGGAAGTGTCATCGGGATTGGCCGCGAAGATGGGAGTCTCGATGTACGGCGTGGCTGGGAAGCAGAACACCTTCGGGCCAGACTTCAACTGTTTGCCGACGGCCCGTTTCCAGGTTGGTGGCGAAAGGATGGTCATCGCCGCGCCGTGTGGCGAGCTCCTGGCTTTCGCGAAGGATCATGCCAGCACGAAGGTTGACGACATCAACGCCGCGAGCCTGCAGACCTGGGCCCTCAAGGAGATTTCCGAAGACGACCTCGGCAAGATGAAGCCGTTCCTGGTGGGCACCAATGCCGTTGAGAATTCGTTGCTGGTGATGCCGCCCCACTACCTCGTCTGGGAGATCACGAAGGATCCGTGCCACGGCTTGAGGCTCAGCTTCCTCCAGGGCCTGCCCCAGGACGTCTGCGAGCAGGTCAAGGGGTGGGGGCAGTTGTACCCAGAGGGGGAGGCGAAGAACACGGCTGAGGCGGTCAGCCAGAGCTTGCAGCCGGCGGCGGCAGCGGCGGCGCCGTTGTCAGATCAATCGTGAGTGAATCGTGCCTCAGGGTGTGGTGCGAACGGAGAGTCGATCATCCTAGGGGGCCACTTGGGACGCTTGGGATCTTGGTCTTCCTGGGGCCCTGGGGACTTCTTGGGAGGAGTAGTTAGGAGGAAGATGATGAGGAGGAGGAAAAGGAGAGGGCGGATGAGGAGGGGGAGGAGGATGATGAGGGGACCGAGGAGGAGGAGGTAGGAGGAGGAGGAGGAGGAGGAGGAGGAGGAGGAGGAGGAGGTAGGAGGAGGAGGAGGAGGTGGAGGAGGAGTTACTGGAGTTACTGGCTAGCGGACCTCTGTCCAGGCCTCTCAAAGGCCCAAGCGAAATATGTTAGGTTGCGGTACGTTATGGTATGCTACGTTATGCTCTGTTATGCCATGGTGGTGGTGGCGATGATGCTGATGATGCTGATGCTGATTGTGACGGTCATGGTGATGGTGATGATGTTGCTGCTGCTGCTGCTGCTGCTGCTGCTGCTGCTGATGATGATGATGATGATGATGATGATGATGATGATGATGATGATGATGGCGGAGCAAAGTCTGAGAATGTATCGAGCGAAGCGCGGGTTTCAACACCCCCAAGGGGGAGCTCCCAGGGGGTACCTCACTCTCCCGTTCGCGCCTAGATGGCGGGGATGTATCGAATAATGTGCCTGGTTGCATGCCCAACATCGTCCGCTTTCGCAGCAGATCTTGAGGATATCTCGAGCGAGGCGCTGGCTTTCGCACCCCAGGGGTGCCAGATCTTAAGGATGTGTCGAGCGGCTTGCTTATTGTGCTGGCCACATGAGGCCACGGATCCTGCTAGGCTGCCACAGGATGCTCCAGCAGGCTCCAGGATGCACCACAAGGCCACAAACGACCACAGGAACCCCCAGAGGACCACAGGAGACCCCAGGAGGCCCTAAGGGGCTCCAAGAGGTTCCAGGAAACCAGAAACCCCACGAGCCCCCAGGAGTAGGAGGCCCCAGAAGGCCACAGGAGTGGCTCCAATCCCATGTGCTGTACGCGTGCTCCTATAGATTGCCCCCCCCCCCCCCCCCTGGAGCACGAATCCGAAGTGCTGTGCGTATGTTTATATAGAATGCCCTATTCCTGCGCATCCACTCCTAAGTGTTGTACAGTGTTGTACGTATGTTCCTACAAACTCAACCTCCCCTACAACACAATTCCTTGATGGTTTACGTGTGTTCCGATATATTACCTTTCGCCTGTGGCTCCAACCCGCCATGTTTTATGTACCTCTGTTCCTGCAGGTTGGGCCTCTCCTGGGGCACGAATCCTCCCCAGGATGCCCTAGGAGGCTCCAGGAGGCCCCCAGAGGCCACACGAGACCCCAGGAGGCTACAGGAAGCCCCAAGAGGTTTCAAGAGGCCCCAGGAAACCCCAAGCTCAGGTGCAGAGACCTGATACTACTGAAACTCATTCACACTCCAACCCATTCACAATTAGATTCCCTCCCAGACCGTACTCCAGCCAATGTATACTCGAACATTCTTGCGCCTAGACGCTCGCGGCTGGCGGGTCCATGCTAATGAATGCACATACGGGGAGCTCCACTCAGTGAATAATTCTCTCGGGTTTCGCCCATCGCACGCCTGGACCTAGGGTGACCTAAACTGCCCTCCAGCAGGTGTCCCGCGCAAAAGTTGGACGGGTGACCTAAACTGCCCTCCAGCAGGTGTCCCGCGCAAAAGTTGGACGGGTGACCTAAACTGCCCTCCAGCAGGTGTCCCGCGCAAAAGTTGGACGGGTGACCTAAACTGCCCTCCAGCAGGTGTCCCGCGCAAAGTTGGTTGGGCTGGTTGGTTGGTTGATTGATTGGCTGGTTGGTGGTTGATTGGCTGGTTGGTTGGTTGGCTGGTTGGGCTGGTTGGCTGGTTGGCTGGTTGGTTGGCTGGTTGGTTGGCTGGTTGGTTGGTTGATTGGTCGGGCTGGTTGGCTGGTTGATTGGCTGGTCGGGCTCGTTGGGTTGACTGGTTGGCAAGTGCAGCACAAATCCGCACCCTGGGAAGCCCCTGGAAATCGTCTTGGGTTGGTGCATATTGGGCCGAGAG